CGCCGTTCTACACGACTGGATATCGAAAATAAGTGGGCCGTGCATGTAATGCGCTCTAACGACAACCGATGGACGAGAGCCGTTACCGACTGGATTCCTCGGGACATCAAGCGCTCTGCAGGAAGGCCACCGACCCGCTGGCCCGATTTCTTCACGAAAGCCTTAGAGGAAAGGTATGATCAGCGAAGCCCTAAAGCGAGGAAGACCTACTGGGCTACTCTTGGAAGCGTTGCTGTACCCGCTCGAGCCACTCGACGATCAACGGGATGACAGGTGATACAGGTGAAGGAAAAACGTGTATCAGCTGAAGTACACGATTGTCAAAGACCCTTCTCGCTGCATAAAAGTTTTTTCATGGACATTTGGTAATCATTGAAAAGCATAAATTTTTGCGGTGTTAGGGATTTGTTCAATTTTAGTAAAAAAGCTTTTTATTACGTTGCAGAAGAGAAAATAAATTTGTGTTTCACATTTGATTTTCTTCGTTTGCTCTGCTGGAGCTTCGATATGAATCTTCATTGAAGTTTTATAAAGCGTTAGATAGCCTGAATTTCGAAAATTTTGATAATACGATGAATTTTTTGAAGGGTTAATGTACGGCACTGTAAAAGCGAAAAGAAGATCACATTTCACGCCTAAAATGTTACTCCGCCGCATCCGCGTCGTAGGTGGTTTATTGGTAATTATAGGTGGAGCTAATATGTCAGAGGTACTTTGGCGTTACATAAGGAATGATTATCACGAATAACTTTCTTCAAAGGTCTTTTGATATACAGAGTGATTAGTTCGCTTGAATAACTTCATTTTTCAGCGGTAATACCACGTCGTTGGAAACTGGTAAACTAACTTTTAACTCCTATTTTGCATTTGTATCGCCTGTCCTGCGCAAACGTAAACTGAAGTACATCTTCTACAAATAAACATTTCTAATAGAGGTCTATAGAGAAATAATATTCTTATGTAGCTTGAGTAAGTGTAGGAAAAGCGCGTTCATCATTGCGTATAACACGGTACTTCACCTATCGGCAACCATATTCGAGAAAGCGTATTCTTCGCTCTTTCTGCACATTTTAGTAGTTATTCGATAGCACAAATCTCAATGATTTGAAAGGGGCAATATATTTTTTGAAAGTCTTATTATCCTGTAACAGTGAAAAGAAAGTGTCATTTGACACTCAAGCATCTTTCGATTAGCAAAGCTTTTCTTCAAGAGGTTCACCAATTTTTCGATAGCACGAATCTCGGCCAACTTAAGGCTGCTTTTGATTTTCTAGAGAATCTGTTTACTGCTTCACGACTGAATCAAGATAGCATTTTACATACGGCTTGTATGCCTTCCACTGGTATGTGGATGGATATTGCAACATTAGCAATAAGCCGTCGCTGTTTCATAACCAATCGATAGCTCAAATTTTGAAAATCAACGGTGCGCCTGTTTTTGAAGGAAATTCTCTTTGCGAGCTGTAGCAACAAGTATAAAGCTGGTTGCACATCTGAGCATTTTTCGCTGGACACGGCTGTTCTCTTAAGGCATTGACACACATTCCCTAGCGCAAATCTTAACAATTTCAACGGTATGCATGGTTTTCGAGAAAGTCTTCTTGGTGCGTCATTACAGCTAAAAAAATATTGAGATTTACATTCGGCGCTCGTCGCCCCTCACGTGTAAATTGCCTGTGCGATCGACACGGCGCCAAATGAAACTCAATAATCTTTTAGCTGTGACGACGCATTGAAACAGTCTTTCTCAAAATTCAAGCTTGTCTGAGATTGCTGAGATCTGTGCCAACAATGGTTATTGAAATTCTGAATTGAAGCTTTTGTTCGACGAAAGATGCTTGAGTGTGAAGAAAGTTTTTACTTCAACTTTACAGTATAATATTGAAACCATCTGAAAATAAAGCACACCCTTCAGGTTCTTAACATTCAAGCTGTCGAATAATTAACCTGAAAAAGGAATAAAAATACCTTTCTTTGAATATGGGTGCAGATGGAGGAAAACTACCGAAAATACTTCCGTGGAGGCACAAATTTCTGACTAATAGCTTGCATGATGCCAATGTTCTAAGCCTTTTATTCAAGCACGATTCTCCCTTCCCGCTCAAAAATTTCGCATTAACCATAGGTACTCACTTTTTTCCACATACGTCAACTTTGAATAATTGGAAATAGGCGAATGATCGATGCAACTTAGTCATAGTGAGAAATTTCGATCAACAGTAACGTAAACGTCATACATTATCATATCTGATAAGTTACTAGCTTTTCTCCAGTTTTTATTTACTATGGTGACTCTTGGGTCTTGTATAAAACTAGTGAAGAGCAAAACTAAAGATTTTCCCAGTGAGTTTCTCTGTATAATGCAATAGAATTGATTGAATGTCTAATTCAGCCCGATTGCCTAGTAAACCAACGTTTTTCTCCACAATAAACACGTATAACTAAATTAAAAGCGCATGAGCGTGTGAAAAATCTTGTTTTATCAATGTAATACAAGGTTCCAAAAATTTTTGTCAAGCGAAGAAAAAGACCTTAATCATACAGCGAAAATCGCGCAATTCGCTCTGCATGCATCGGTTTTTATGGCCGTTCTTTACGGGTTTACAGCTTATAGCGGTATGATACCACAGATATATATTCATCAATGATAAAAGGTATGCGAAAGTTTGAAACGTCGGACGGAATCCCATCCGACGTTCAAAGTTTTGCATATCCCTCGACATCATTATAGATGTGGAGATTGTAATAAATTTATTGCAAGGAGAATTTATCACCGACACAATGTTAAAAGTTTCATATAAGAACGATCAAATTTTCTCACACTATTGTAGAGATTGAGATACTTACAGCAACTCATTCATCTTATTAGCACGGAAAGGAGATATGGGATGCGTATGAGGTCCATAGATTGACATTGACCCCGCAATGTATTGTGTTGGCGCTTTTGTTCTTCAAAACAGGTTTGAAACATTCGGCAGCAGAGTAATTAAGGCTGGGATAACATGGTAAAGGATCTCAAACCATTGACAGTATGTGTCATTGAGCACCTCCGAGCACTGAAATATCAGCGTCCAAATTTGCTATCCAATAAATCTTGGGCTCCTAGTTTATCTAGATTCTTCTACTACTACTTTACTACTTTTCAAGAGCACAGGGGAATTCAAACAAAAGCAACTGTAATTCGGTGAATATTGTTTAAGATACAAAATAAGTTCTCCTTGCAATCAAGTTACGGTTAAGAAATTTCTGCTTGTTCTGTCGAAGTCACGCAGCTAATATGCTTTCAGCACTTTGTCTCTATTGTTTACTGCTCATAGAAATTACCGATCTTGCAATCCCTTGTGTACAGTTGTGATGAATGAAATTGGTGCAAATGACAATTAATTTCATTTAGCGTGTTTCACGGTTAAAATTGGTGAGGTTGACGAATGTTCAAGAGAATCAATAATAATCCAAAAAAAAATATTTCAGCTTAAACGAAGTTTTTACGCCACGGCCATACGCGGGTGTTTCGGAGGTTTCGGCCTCCTCGTCAGTGACCCCCGCCCCACATTAAGCCCTGCGTTGTAGCAAGGAGGGAGGCGTATGTGGTATGTGGTGATGGCACAGTGTACAATGACACTGGTCCATCACCATCAGTCGATGGTTTCGGCTGGTAGACCAGAACTAATCCATTAAATCGACTGTTTTTTAAACCTCGTAATAAACATTCAAAATAATCCAATAAGAATGTTTGTCTACAATGCAGGGCTTAATGTGGGGCGGGGGTCACTGACGAGGAGATCGAAACCTCCGAAACAGCGGTATATGGCGCCCTGGCGTACCAACCTCGTTTAGGCTAGAAACATTCTTTTTTTGGATTATTTTGAATGTTTGATACGAGGTTTTAGAAACAGTCAATTTGATAAAGAATCAATAATGTTATTGAACGGAATTTTTTTTGCCTAGAAGAAAGCCTTAAGTGAGCTCCATACATCATTTTGCATTATTGGGTATCACATTTTTCTGACATGGAAGTCGAAAATATTGGCTTTGTCGAAATTCTAGCGATTTGGTTTTTAGATGAGAATTGTACCATTGAACTAGTCTAATCGCATATGTCATTTAAGAAAGGAGCAAAACGATGAAACGGGGCAACTTATCTGATGTTAGAGCGAGTTAGGAGATAATAGCAAAGTTAGGAAATACTAGGAAATAATAGCAACGAAAACCTATTCCTTATTACGACGATTTGCCGGCCTTTCGTTGTGTACCAAGTAAAAAGTGAAAATACCGTGTTTTGGAGATCGGTCAGCTTTTTACAGCTCTAACAGTGGTTGAGGTCATGAAAATATTGTCATTAGCACAGTAATTGTAATGTGATCATACTGGCCTTACTTCACACAATCCATTCCAGGCATTACCACAATCTTCGAAGGCTAGCGCTGGCCATCTCAAGTGATGCTATCTCCTTTTGAACTCTTCTCCTAACGCCTGAGAAAATGTCGCTTGCGGACGTTAGTGAAGTGTTATCTCGGTGTTTCTCATAAACAGACTTTACTCAGTGATGTTAGAGCCCATAAAATCGCTTGTAATTTGAATATGTCAGTCACGTTCTGTGCTAGCGCTCTCGTCTACAGAATCTGTTTAGAGTCAGACCAACGAAATAAATTTTGCACTGCCGTGATTTTACGAGATCTATTCAATAATGTTAATTACGATGATCGAACCTCGACGAAAACTCGGCAAAGAATGACGTTTATTAGCCATTTGTCTATTTATTCCTAAATCTTCACTTGTTGTTCCATTCTTCTTCGCTATTGATGCATTTTGATCTTGGCGTTGAGCGTGTCCCCAGAACATTAACGCTCGTCGAGCGAACATTGCATGGAACAGAACAAGGTTTACGAAGTAAACGCTAATGTCTTATGGAATCAATCGGAAATTATTTTATTTGACCGCCTATTGAGGTGTAATTGTTTCGATGAACCCAACGATGTGGAGTAGTGTGCAAAAACGTTTGCGTCAGCTGGAATTCGAACTCAGATCTTACTCTTTCTGGGAGTATGTGCTAAGCCGTTGCACCACCGACGCTCATTCTATCACATACTCCCGGAAAGAGTAAGATCTGGGTTTGAATCCCGCCCAACGCAAACGTTTTTTGCACACCACTCCACCTTATGGAATCGTTAGATGAAATCAGGCGCTTGTAATGTGAAGACTACACAGGAATGACTTTAAAAAGAAATTGTTTAGAGGAACATTTGTATCGATATTCACCTCTAGGGCTTATTAATACGGAATCTACCGCTTCATTCTCAGTCACTTCAATAACAAAAGTGTTATGATGATCTAAGAGAACATTGATTAATCCCGCTGGAACTAAATAAAGATAGGTTGAAATTCTCAATTTGAGAGCTATTGACTGGGCCGGCTACAATAGTATGATTGCCACGTCGTTTCTCAAGCTGGAAACCAAGTAGTGTGGAAAATCATCAGTTGACCCACTACAGCGACTGTTTTTAACCTTGCTATAAGCATTTGATATAGTCTGTAAGAAGTTCTAAAGCCTTACCAAAGCTGTTACGTCGGAGCAATGCACGTGCTTCGGAGGTATCGCCCTCTTCAATCCATCGACTGAGAATGGTGATAACACTTGCACATTGTGCTACCACCGCATGCGTCCCCTCTCTCTGCTATAAAGAAAGGTTCAGTGCAGGACGTGGGCCACTGACAAAGAGGCCGATACCTCCGAAACGCGTGTATGCCTCTGAATGACAACCTCGGTAAGGCTTTAGAAATCCATACAGACTGTATTGAGTCATTAATTGCTTCATTTTGTATAATAACGTTCTGGTGTTCTTTCTCTGTCAGCTATGATTCGCTAAGTAACCGCAGTATTCTATTGAAAGCGAATGGAGAACGTCGTGGCGAAACGGTTTGTCGTTTAGCAATTTAATCAAAACGACTCAGAGGTGCCTATTCGCTGCATCTAACGCTCATAAATTCGTCGTGAAAGTGCCAATGATTCAGCACCACTTTCTATGCAGTCAACAAGCCTTTTATGGGCGCAAAAATCACATTATTCCATATTTTGAAGCGAAGAAGACTTACTCAGACATTGAAATCGAGAACGGGTGTGGCGCAGTGGTTGAAAGTTCTCTGTGACGCACTTGGTCAATCAGGTGACAGTCAAATGTTCTATGCGCGCTCAAGGCTTGTCAAGCATCTCATCCCTCCGGGTTTGGTAAAATGGTGCAAGATCTGTCTGATAGGATAATCATCAAATTGATAGACCGGTTGGAGACCGCGAGTTCTTGTAAGGGTTAGAAGATGAAAACGTCGAAATGTAAGTCGAATAAGATTACTGCATCAAATTTGTGGTATTAACCATATCTCTGAAGAAATTATGGCACCTATATTGTTAAACAACGACAGATGAAAAACAGATCTCATTCGGTGAACCAGAATTTCTCATAGAAGTTTTAGTAATAAGTCGAAAACTTAGATCTTCGTCTAGAGCCGCACATAACCCGGTTTTCAAAACACCTTTTTATAATGCTGTAAAATCCAAAATGAAAATATAGCTCTGAAGACCACGTGCTTTTTCTCTTACTTCGCTTAATTTTGCTGTACAAAGCTCCTTCTTTAGAGTGCCAGTACTTACTCGATGGGACACGTTTCGAAGAACCTAAAAATGCGTTTGCTTTTTGGGGAAGCTTTTTTGATAGCGCTGTAAAGGAGGTACTGTTCCCTTATGGCGGCGCCACTTGATGCCTTCGATGAAAGCGTATTCTTTGTTGTTATCTGACGAATGTATGTTTTCTGATAACAAATAAAGTGAATTTCAAAGGTAAATTTACTTTCTCATTTTGCTTGCTTTTTACGCAGTGCCAGTCAAAATGGTATTTTGTTTCACATTTGAGGATTTCATGCCTGATCAAAGTTTTTTCATGACAAAATTCTAACCATTAGATAGAGCAAATCTTTAAGATTGAAAAAATGTAATTGCCCTTTATAAAGAACTTCTTAGAGCTCTACAGTTTGCACAAGAAGAGTAGATTCCACACATTTGAAATATTGTTGTTTTCCGCACTCCTTCACAAACAAGGGTGTTTTTGACTTTCTCAAGTTGCTTCTTAGCTTAATCATTGACTCAAATCTAGACAATTCCAGAGATATCTTACGTTTTGAAAGAAGACTTCCAGTTCAGTGTAATATCCAAATCAGAAGTACGTTTCACACTTGAGGCGTTTCAAGGCGTCATTTGTCTGGGAGAGAATTTCCCTCAGACCTTTGAAAACTATTCAATAGTCTGAATTCTGCTGATTCCAGTGATGTTTTTGGTTTTTCGAAAGAACTTCTTAGTGAGCTGTGATGTGTTAGGGAGCGCAATGCAGCGACGGCACCTGGCCACTACGCATTGCCAGGTATGTAGATGGGATTTCGCAATACTGGTCCTTGGCTGACGAGCCATCTCAGCATTCGCTACATTGATTAGTCATTACAAGTCAACAGCCTCAACTGTCTTTTGATTCTCATCGACTTTACCTTTGAGCATTTTTGCATCGCTAAGCACCGACAAAGAAGCCGTAATGCTCCTGCAAAGAAACGGCGTCTTACAATCCAAACGTCTGTGCAAGAAAGGGCATCTAATGAGGCTTCAGTTCGATTCAAAAGTTGCTTGGCGATGTTACAAGTGTAGATGTCGCGATAAGGTCGCTATTAGAGTCGGAAATTGGTTTCGAAACAGTCGTTTTTCTTTTGTTATTGCACTCCGTTTCTTAAATAGTTGGAGTGAAGAGTTAACGTCGCTCAAATGATGCAAGAAAAATTTTGGCATGAGCAGTGGCGCAGTTGTGAGCTGGAATAACTATTTACGTGAGATTGTTGCAGAGCAGCTGATTCGACGCCGTGATAAGAACAATGGGGGCAAAGGCAGGATTGTGGAGATAGATAAATCATTGTCCACAAAGAGGAAGAACATGCCGGACATGTGCTTCGCCAACAATGGACCTTTGGAGGAGTCTGTCGTGAAACAATACAATGCTTCTTAGCGGCGGTTCCAGATCACACAGCACCAACTTTGCTGGCTGCTATCGAAAACAACGTTGCCCAAGGTTTTACGATCTGTTCCGACTGTTGGAATAGGTACATAAATGAAGATATACCAAAAGCTGGTTTCCAGCACTTCACGATTAACCATCATCACAATATAGATCCACACACAGGTACTCACTCTCAGACGGTCGGAAGGATGTGGAGATCTGCAAAAATGGCGCAAGAGACGGCACCGAGAAACCGCACGCCATTTTTTGGAGTCCTACTTGGCTCAGTTCATGTGGTGTAAAGTGGTCGCAGGTGAAAATGTGTGAGTGTTGCGACCTTCCGTTTATTTCTCGCCAATGTCGCAGTTGTAACTTCCATTATCGATTTAGGTGACGATGTTTTTGAAGAACTCTTGGATGCGATAAACGTTTTCTGGTCTCCTGAACAGTGGCCTACCTATATTTGATTATGAGTCTGTCAACTTCTTAAACACGATAAATTATATTCAACAAATCTTTTTTTTTGAAAAGCACATGGACATGTAGAAAAAATTCTGGAGCGTAAGAGATATCTCTGATATCCATCAAGAAAATCCACATGTGACTTTTGCAACGGATTGGTATTACAGCTGTACATACACCCTAGCCGACTAGAAGTGCTCACTGATTGTGAAACATAGTATTCTTTCGGTTGTTACAAAACTCGAAGAAGTTTTTTAGTCGAAAGCAAAATATAACATTATAATCGGAAAAATTTTTTCCTATCTCATGGTTCAAAGATTATTACAACAAAACTTTTATCCAGTGAGAAATCTTCGAATGAGAAACAAGATCTTTATTTGACCTTGACTGGTACGGCGCCATAAGCTATCAGAGAAATTAAGCATGCCATTGAAATTCACTTGATTTGAGCTATCGATAAACTACGGAAACGTTTTGCACAAGCAAAAAATACATTTTTACCGGAGGCATCAAGTGGCGCCGACATAAGAGAATAGTAGCGAAATGACATATGCTCTCCACATTGCCGCGCACAGTTCTATCTTTAGACTATTAGTAATTATTTGATAGCGTAAGCCTCAATGATTCCATCGATGTTGGGTTATTCTATAGAAATATTATTAGCAGGGAGAACAAGACTGAATTTTACATTATTGGAAAGCTTATTTATCGGCTTGTCCATGAGGTCGGTTCCAATCGATCGATGGCTTGGCCGTTAGACTGTGGGATGCAACCTGATATTCAATTGAGGATTTTTTCTCCGCTTTGAGAAAAACTCCAAATAAAACAGTTGAAATAAATACTACGGAAGTTTTCCTACACGTTAATATGCTTTTCGTGCTTTCAGTGAATTTATACGCCTGATAAAATGAACACGAACGACAGATGAGAAACATAATACTAGTTTCGATTTTGCAGCCTTCGAAAAGGGTTTTTGAAAAAAACGGAGACGTTGGGCTCTAGCAAGAAATCTAAGCTTTCGAATGATTGCTGACATTACTGGAAAGGTTCCTGTTCCACGAATGGATAGGTTTTCATTTGTCGCTGTCTAACATATAGATACCAAAATTACTGCTGATCGATAGTCCGTGAATGAAGAAAGACCATTTTCACATTAGTGTCACGTTCTGTGCCAGCTGATATCATAACTCCATTACTATGGGATAGATTCTCCCGAGACACGAATCGCAATCAAAAGATGCATAAATGAAAACCATTCTGAATAAAAGAGCACTGCTAAGTGCCACTTTTTGCCTAAGCAGTGTTCCACCGATGAAAATTTGACTCAAATGACATGAAAGACCATGATCCACAGCACATAAGAACAATATGAAAATCTATTGTAGAGAGTCTAGCTACTCATTACATTCTCAGATGCTTCCATAACAGGTGTGCTATTTTGCTATTCCGAGAAAGAGTCGCGTTAGTGTTATATGAGAATCTGGCTACAGTAGGATAATGGTCTCTATAACCCTTTCTAACTTGGAAACGAGCACGTGGAAATCTACTCACCTTAATATGGGAGGATAATGATGCTACCATTTC